CCAGGTAAAGTAAACCAGGCCTGGTAAAGCCAAGAACCCAAGGTTCCCTCTCCTCACAGCTCCGGGTGGATATATTCCTAGAAAGACTCTCAGACTTTCTATTAGTGCCCCCAGTTACCTATTGTGAGACTAAACTGGAAGAAGTAAAACTGAACTGTTCTGGTACCCAGACTCACTTGTGGAATAAGATTTGGTTCAGGTACTTTCACTACTGAGAGTGTTAGGGTCCCTATTTCCCTTTTTCTGACTTGTGGGGTATAGAACTACATTGGGGAGGGCAAGCTTAGGAGATGCCTGCTGTCAGCAACTCCAGAGGGCTCTCAGTTCTGAAAACGAAGGTGTTTCTCAGAGAGAAGCCTGTCACAGCTTACTCATATATCAGGGTCATGCTTAGAGATTTTGTCCAGAGAGTGAAGCAACTCAAAACTTCAAATCTCTCCTAAGAGAACCGGGACTTCCTTTGCAACTAAGTTTGGAGAAATTTAGCCTCCGTACTCTCATAAACAATGAAGTTTGTGCCCAAAGGCAACTGGGCAAGACTTAGAGATTTTTCAGAGAAAAAGGCTTAACTGACTAGTTTTCTGGAGAGAAACAATGAGAGAGATGACCATTTGGAACCCTTGTTGAGTGAGAACAAATCTCAAACCCTGAGCAGGGGAAATATCTTTACAGATTAAGTCAAGTACAACAGTCAGACCAAACTGTCCTCTTGAGTTTTCTGTTACTTGTCATCGATTGCAAGACCACTCTCAGTTTTGATAACTCTCAAAAAAGACTCAACTCTTAGAATGCACTAGTAATGGTTATACTCATGGTTATATAGGTTATTAAATAAAAATGATACAGTAAGGTCAAAAGTGTTTAGGGGTATGCCCAAGAATATGAACTCCACTTCTGAACTTATATTATTTCATTATTAGTATTATTTAATAACTTCTATTATTATTGCCTTACGTAATAAAGGATTCCTACTCTCTTAGTATTGCTATGCAATTAAGCACATGGAATATTGCCAACCAGGGAAGCTTACCTGGACATAGAAGTTCAGCTCTATGAAAAAGGTTAATTGATATATTGCCCATACGTTTAATCGCAGTGTACAGGTTGATTGATTCTGCTGACCCAAGGTGACCAGCCTAAATCAGAGTATTGCTCTCTCCAGTGTGACCAGTCCCAGCCCTAAGGCCACTCTCACACTAAATCATAATGTTAGACTCTCCATGATGGCATGTGTCCCCCGGCAAACAAAAACGCTCCTATCAAGTACAACATTCTGAAGTCCGAGAGAGCACCTTCCAGAAGGTAAAGGCAAAGACTGGACTTGTTTTGAGCAAATTTAACTTCTTCACTTCACTGGATCCCTTCAAAGGATCTGATCAGTTGGTGAAGCAGTTTGTGCCCTCAGCATTGTTGAAAACAATAGAACAATCGATCACAATTAAACTTCATAGCTGTGAAAGCAACAGAGATCTGCCCGAACCACTTTCTTTTCCAGGTAGGTATTTTGGTGTACAATAGTAGCAAAACCACAATATCAGGAGTGTTTCAGGCACACAGTGTTGCCTTACACCTACCGCCAGAGTATCAGTGTCCCCTCCCCCCATCACTGTCTCTAGTCCTGAGACCCACTAACCCTCAGCAAACTTAGCCAACAGGCCAGCTCTTAGAGTCTGTTATCACTCGTCATCTTTTATTCTTCACTATATTTATTTATTCTCCATAAATAGAGGAATCATTCACTATCTTTTCTTCCTTTGACATCCTACATGATGCCTTTCAGTATCCATGTAGCAGTAACCTGCAGGATTTCGACTTTTCTTGAAGTAGTTTTACTTGGATCTCTTTTGACTGGTAGATTTTAGCTTCTTGTTTCTGGGTCATGCTCTCCTCAGCACTGGGAACTTCTCAACTATGATTTCTTTGACTAATGGTTCTTCATCAGAATTGCCTTATTGTTTCTCAGGAATTCTGATTATTTTCTTAAAATTTTATTTATTTATTTATTTTGCTTCTTGGGTCACACCCAGAAATTCTCAGGGATTCCTCCTGGCTCTGCACTCAGGAATCACTCCTGGCAGTGCTTGGCGTGCCATATGGGATGCCAGAGATTGAACCCACATCGGCCGTGTGCAAGGCAAATGCCCTACCTGCCCTGCTATCACTCCAGCCCCCAAATTCTGATGATTTTTGTGTTGTTCCTCTTGAATTCATCCCATGTCTGGAGCCAGAGTGATGGTAAACCAGATAGGGCATTTCCCTTGCATGTGGTCAACCCAGGTTCCATCCCCAGCACTTCATATGGTCCCCTGAGCACTGCCAGGAGTGATTCCTGAGTGCAGAGCCAGAAGTAACCCCTGAGCACAGCTAGCTGTGGCCCAAAATTTTTTTTAAAAATTAAAAATTCATCCTACCCCCACTTTCCTTATAGTTCAGTAGTATTTTATTGTGTAAATAGAACACAATTCTTTATCACTTTCCACCAGTGAGAAGCCCATACACCAGACTCCTTTGATCACAGGGGGACTGTGGAGACCCCCAAGCCTGAAGCCCTGGAGAAGCAGCCTCAGACACTTCACACTGTGGAACAGCTGTGAGAGACGTCGTCACTAACACAATCTATCCAGTCACTGACAATTAAGCTTGAGAGACCACATCAAATTCGGTCAGCGAGTGGGGAGAGAAGCACACAGAAATACACAGGGTGACTGTGATACGTCACCTAAAATGGAGAGTTTCCAACCAACAGTAATGAGACATGCAAACACACAAAAAGCATAATTCATACGCCAGGAGAAAAGGAAGGCAGCAGGGACTGCCCAGGAGGACCACAAAGATATTTAACAAAGGTCCTAAAATTTCCATTATAAATAGATTCATGGAACAACAGAATTGTGATAAAAGAAGGAAAGAAAGGAAATGACAATTTCATACCAAAGGCAAAGTATTGATAGAGAGATATAAGCAATAGTTTAAAAAGTGAACGGAAATTCTAGAGTGGATGCATATAATAACTAAAGGGGTGAAAAGCAATGAGAGGGGTTTAACAATGAATTTGAATTCATGGAAGAGTGAAAGATTATTCAATCCAATGAACAGAGGGATAAAGAAATGAAGAAAGTGAACAGAAAGCAACAGGCACAGCAACATGCATTTGATGGGCGCACCATACAGGAACAGAAATAAAGGAAGAAGTCATGGTTGAAAACTTCCCATATTTATTGTGAAAAATATTCACCTCTTCTCTGGAAATTTTTAAAATTCCAAGTAGAATAAATGCAAAGAGATTCCAAATGGATATGTTAGAGTAAAAAAAAAAACTGAGAGTCAAAAGGGGAGAGTCTTGAAACAGCAAGAAAAATGAGTCATAACTTTGTTTTTGGACAAACTTTGTTTTTGGACACTTCATTGTGATTAATTACTGCCTTTTCACCAGCCAACAAGAGACCAAAAGGTGGTGAAATAGCATTTAAAGGGTTTAAAAAAGAAGCTGCCAACCAACAATTCTTTACCTAGCAAAACTATCAAAGATACACGCTGCTTTGTGTGTATACAGGCATTTTCACTTTTCTTGTTACCTAACCAAGAGAAGTGAAAATCAGATTTGGGGCTAGGCACTGGCTCACATGACACAAGCACATGTTGGAGAACCAGTTTGACCCTGGCATTGCATGTTTCTCTGACTTCCGAATCAGGAACAACCCCGAACAACAAGCCATGAGGAGCCCCTAAAAACTATTCCAGGAATGGCTCAATAACACATCCACATAAAAATCTGCACACAATGTTTGTAGAAGTACTGTCTATAATAGCCCCCAAATAGAAGCAACTTAATTATTTACCAACTGATGACTAGATAAATGAAATGTGATCTATCCATACAGTGAATTATTTATTCATAAAGAGAAATAAAATATTGGTACATGTTGCAGTGTGAGTTAACCTAGAGAACATTGTGTCTGTCACAAAGATCATCTATAGTATGCTTTCATTTACATACATGCCCAAAGTGACATATATGTAGAGACAGTGAGTGTATAAATGGTAAGGGGTTTGCTTAAAAATGTTCTAAAATTGACTGTAATGGTGGTGGATATATTTAGCACCTGTAAATATTCTAAATATCACTTTTACAGTTTGAAAAGACTAATTGTATTATCTGTGATATTAATTCAACTATTAAAACAAAAATCAGAGTGCACTAGAAGTAGGTAATAGGTATGGTTTGATGCTTTGTTTGAATTGTTGCCATGGGTGGATTAAGGTGATATGTGAATATATGATCTGAATTATAAATTACATAATCTCTCTTTAGCAGCAAGTAGAATCCTTTTTGAAGATCCAGAACTTCATTTTTTCCTTTGATTTTTAATATGCAATGTCCAGTACTCAAGTAAAAACCATCGGGCATCACAGAATACAGGAGTTAGCTGAAAATTCAAAAGAAAAGAGACAGACAATAGATACAGATACTCAAGTTTCAGCTGAAAAATCACTTTCTCAAACTCCCAGACTTATTAACCCCCTGTATTAATAACTCAGCCCACGCTAAGCACATGCTTTTCCCACATGCTTCCCAACATCCATGAGCAAGTTATTGAACTGTATTCAAAGCACTAGTTTTGTACAAATCAGAATTTAACTTGTTATAGAGCCTTTAGTTATATTCAACTTATTCTGAGAAAAACTAAAATTTATTTTCACTTACTCTTAACGTTTAACATGAGGTACATACAGAGCAATGAACAATACATAGATTGCATCTTGATGAATTTCCAACCTAGACACCCTATGTAAGTAGCACCGGGTCAGGGAATAGAACATTTCTAGTGCCCAAGAGTTCTCCTAAGAGCTCACTCATGTCCTTTCCCAGCCATAAACCTTTACCAAGGATAACTGAGTCCCTGTCTTCTAACACTGTCTTTTAATTCTTCCAAGATTAATTGGTCATTTCAAGTTAAGTTAATTTTGTGAATAAAATAATAAGATGTATGGCAGGATGCAGCTTTATTCACTATTGCTAAGGGCTGCGTGTCATCCTTGTGCAGGGGCCATGCTAATCTTCTCTGTATCGTTCCAATTTTAGTATATGTGCTGCCAAAGCAGGCTGGAGCGATAGCACAGCGGGTAGGGCATTTGCCTTGCATGTGGCCGACCCAGGTTCAATTCCTCCGCCCCTCTCAGAAAGCCCGGCAAGCTACCAAGAGTATCTCGCCTGCACAGCAAAGCCTGGCAAGCTATCCATGACATATGCAGTATGCCAAACACAGTAACTAGTGTCACAATGGAGACGTTACTGGGCCTGCTCGAGCTAAGGGCTGCAAACAACTAAAAATTCCCATCAAGTGGGGACTGAGTAGTTGTTTTGTGGTGTGCGTGTATATATATGTGTATATGAAATTCTGTATGACCATCAAATGTCAATGTATTGATAGGAAAAATATACTAACACATAAAGATGTACAAGGTATGTCAACAAAGTGGAAAATAAAGTTTCATACACCTAGTTGTCTATCTGTACCTTACCCATATTAAAATAAAAATTTAGTGTTTATGCATTATTTATGTTTACAAATGCAAGGTAGCTGACCTAGAAGTGCACATGTCAACTATTTACAACCAAGAGAAGGGGTTACACATGCAAAGCATGCATGAAACATGGTTTATTTCTAAAACTTTACTTACCAATTGAACATTAAAAAAATTACAATACCTGAAACTTGACTCTGGGTTTGTAAGGATTGAATTCGTCGATTGCCTCGAGCAGGCCCCAGTAACGTCTCTTTCATCCTAGCCCTGAGATTATATTCAAGGCTGTTTAGGAGAGTGAGACCCATCAATGTTACTGGTATTTGGCATATTTGGTACGCCACGGGGAGTTTGCCAGACTCTGCCCTGTGGGCAGGCTACATTCGATAGCCTGCAAGTTTGTCCAAAGTAGAAATAAGACAATAAGATGTCATAAAAAAAAGTTCTGTTAAGATGTCGCGCGGCCGCATTTGCGGCCGCGCGGTTCCGGGATCTGGATTTTATAGTCTCTGAGTCTTGGCCGCTGATGGGATTACACGGCGCCAGGGGGCCAGGTGGTGGGTGTGACCCCCGCCTACTGGAATTTGGAGGATCTGGGTGGAAGATGCTCGACTCCAATTCGAGTAGGCTTGGAGGTCTCGGCCCCGGAACCCGCGTGGCTTTGTCCCTCTGCCAGTACCTTCAGGTGTGCGGAGAGTGGTCTCAGCATGGTGGTGGCTGGTCCTGGAGGTCTTCGGCTGCCGTAGCCCTGGTCGGGGTGGGGAGGAAAGCTCAACCCGCTCCCCTCCAAGGGACTCCGGGAAGGAACACCCAGGCGCGGGGGCAGAGACTGCACTGTTCTCGTCCGGGATCTGGATTTTATAGTCTCTGAGTCTTGGCCGCTGATGGGATGGAGCGATAGCACAGCGGATAGGGCGTTCGCCTTACAAGCGGCCAACATGGCCGACCCGAGTTCGATTCCTCCGCCCCTCTCGGAGAGCCCGGCAAGCTACCGAGAGTATTCGATATGTCAGACACAGTAACAACAAAGTCTCCAATGGAGACGTTACTGGGCCTGCTCGAGTAAGGATTGAATTAAAGGTTTAATATTTATTTAGAATCATTTTAAACATCTAGATGCATTAAAACCACTGGCGCACATCCTCTGACACAGCAGCCACCTGGTTCTGGAAGTAGACTTTGACTTTGACTCCCTCGGAGACATTGCTGATGATATACCTCATCTGGGTGAAACTCAGAACACCCTCAAGATCCATCCTCAGAGGAAGAGATACACCTTGGGACAGCCATTATTTATTTTTTTAAATTTTTATTAGTCAAACACCATGAGGTACTGTTGTAGACTTACAAATTTTTGTGCTTGGGTTTCAGTTATACGATGATGGAGTATCCATCCCTCCACCAGTGCCCGTTCTCCACTGATCCCAGTATCCCTCCCGCCCCCATTCCTCCCATCCCTCCCTGCCTCTGTGGCAGGGCATTCCCTTTTGTTCTCTCTCTCCTTTTGGGTGCTGTGGTTTGCAAAAGAGGCATTGAGTGGCAATCATGTTCGGTCTATAGTCTACTTTCAGCATGCATCTCCCATCCTGGGAGGATTTGATGACTGGCTAAAGAAACTTTGGTACATCTACACATTAGAGTACTATGCAGCTGTTAGAAAAGATGAAGTCATGAAATTTACATACAAGTGGTACTACATGGAAAGTATCATGCTAAGCGAAATGAGTCAGAAAGAGAGGGACAGACATAGAAAGATTGCATTCATCTGGGGAACATAAAGTAACAAAATAGGAGACTTACACCCAAGAATAACCGAGATAAGTACCAGGAGATTTACTCCATGGCTTGGAGGCAGCTGCACACGCTAGGGGAAAAGGCAGCTCAGATAGAGAAGGGAGCACCAAATAAAAGCCATTATTTCTTAAGGAAGGGCTGCAGGGAAGAGAACGAGGTAGATTGACACCATCATCATGAAAAAACCCCTGAGATAAATTATTATTTTTTAAAAGATTCTTTATAATTTATTATTATTAGGAAAACGCAGGTTAAAACAATAATAAGACAGGATCCCATGCTGATGTCGTTGGACCCCACGGGTGACTCATATGAAACGGGGAAGAGAAAGTCAATCACTTTCTCTGGAGACGTCTCTGCCACCCGGGACCCAGGGTTACTGGGTTCTAGTCTCACCTCGCAGAAAGAGAGTTCAGGAGTAGACGGCAGTGAAATTACACAGTACATTGGAGGTTTTGAAGGGAAGGAGGAAGAGAAAGTGGGAGAGAGTGGAGAGTAATGTGCTCAAGGGAGAACCCGGGCTTCTCCAAGGGCGGAGAGAGCACCACCACACATTCCAGCATTAGACATGAAAGCATGAAAGTACACATCTCAAGAGGGAAAATGCAGGCCACACATGTGCTCAGGCACCGTATGTTCTTGGCCACAAGGGCACAAGCAGCAAGTGGGTTCTGGCAGCATGTGCACCCTGAGATAAATTATTATTATCATTACTTTTAAGCATTGGATCTTTTAAATAAAAGGAAAAGCAAATGAACTGAAGGTCAGAAGGAAGCAAGGCAGGGGTTTCTCACAAGTGCTACTGGAAACCAGAATGAGAGAGAGAGGAGGGCCCTTCCAGGAACTGAGGGGCGATGGCATGCGTGGGCTGGCCACACGACTGCATAGGCTCTAAGTTGATTTCCAAGTGCCAGTCGGTTGACGTGATGAACAAGATTCGCGGGGGACATTAAATTAAGGAATGCTGCAGGAAGCCGGGAGATGGCTTATTCAGTTGGATTCTGAATCCTGATCAGGAAACAGCCTTTATCTGGTACACCCATAATTTCATTTGTTCTTGGAATGAATGTGAAGGAAAGTGAGGTCATTCTGGGGGTCAAGTTCCTCCACAGTACTCCACGGTGCAGTTGTGTATCAGAGTGGCATGCTGTGTGGTGGGGGGTTGCCTGGGGTGCCTTCCGGGTTCACCACTATGACTCCCCGCACTCCTCACTGACTCTGCAGTTACTTTTGTGTCTCCACCTTTGTCATCTTGGACTCCCTCCACTTGGCCAGCTCTGAGCCGAGATAAATTATTATTTTTTTCAAATGTAGGGGTAGGGCCGAGCAATAGCACAGCAGGTAGGGCGTTTGCCTTGCACGCGGCTGTCCCTCTTGGAGAGCCTGGCAAGCTCCCTGTGGCGTATTCGATATGCCAAAAACAGTAACAACAAGTCTCACAATGGAGACATTACTGGTGGCTGCTTGAGCAAATCAATGAACAACAGGAGGACAGTGCTACAGTGCTAATGTACGACTAATGCTATTTATACAACCATTGATTAAGCTGATTGAATTGGGTTTCAGTCATACAATGATCCAGCACCCATCCCTCCACCAGTGTACATTTTCCACCACCAATGTCCCCTGTTTCCCTCCCACCGTCCCCCAACAACCACCCCCCCAGCCTCCCTCTATGGGAGACACTTTCCTTCTCTCTCTCTCTCTCTCTCTCTCTCTCTCTCTCTCTCTCTCTCCTTTTCCTTTTGTGCATTATGGTTTGCAGTACAGGTGCCAAGAGGTCATGGTGTTTGTTCAGGGCATTTCGTATTTTTATCAGGATGGTAAGGCTGGAGTAGCTTTTCAGTTAGGTAGCCGGTTTGGGGTTAGGGTATGATTGCTGAGGCTTCTGGAAGTGCAGGAAGGTGGGGGGAGGTAGCCCATCCCGACCCCGAGAAAGCCTGGAGATTTCAGTCACAAAACCCGCATACCCAAATTTTCAGCAGATTATATCTTGGTGAGGTCCATCCTGAGAGGGTGTGAGATAAATTATCAAGTGAAAAAAAATTCAGTGTGCAGAATGCTAAGCAAAGTAGGATAACCTCCCATGACCCCCACCCCGGGGCTACATGTAGCCAGAGTCAGGTGCCAACTGCTCCAAGGGGGTGTGCCAACCCGGTGCCAATGGAGGCTGCTCTTGGAGGTGGTGAGCGTTCGATGTGCATTTCCATTGGAAGATTTCATGCTGCCAGGTGCTGAGATTGAAATGAAACTGTGGAGGGACCAGTCCATGCGGTGCCATGGGCCACCCTGCCCTTTACCTCATGGAAGCCTTTGGAGACACGCAGGCTTTGAGAAAGCCGGCGACATCGCGGGACAGTGCCGGGTGGGTTTGATGGCAAAGCCTGTTTGTATCCCTTCCCCAGTAAAGGAAGATGTGGGGGGGGGGGGGATGTTGGTCAGGGGAGCAGGGTTTTTTTTTTTTTTGGCCGGGGAAGGAAGGATGTCTATTCCTCATTTCACTCCCTGCTTAATTTGAAAATGTCCCCCCATCAGTCTCCCTTGGGAATGGCCAGTGACAGCTCTATGTGGGGGTCGCACCTGCCAGCAGAGTAGTAGAGGGGCCTCTGACATCCCCCAGGAGGCGGCTATTCATTCCTCCCTATTGTCACCCCATCCTCCCTATTGAGGGGGCTTGAAAAATGAGGTCCTTTATGTGGGGGGAGCAGAACTCTGCCCCCTCAAGGCTTCCCCATCTGCCCCAACTTTGTGTTTCGTGGCCCAAATGCCACCTGCTTCTCCCA